CCCTGGTGAGAGGGCTCGGGGGGTTGGGGCAGGAGAGGAGCTTCCCGATGGCAGCGGAGATCTGCCTCCGGCAAGAGGGCAGCCCCGAAAAACGCTGGAGCGTCTCTTCTCGCCCTCCGGTTTCTCTGCGAGCAGGTCGTTTGTCGTGAATAAAAACGATTAGACTTCTTCCCTTCCCTTTCTATTATGTTAATACTGCTTGCCTTATTTCAGGGAGCTTTTACCCTTGATACTTCCGTGCTTGGTTGTGTGTGTGTGTGTGTGTGTGTTTTGGTTTTTTTTTTTTTTTTCGGTCAGTTTGCATTGAACGTGGGGTTTTAACCACCTTTCCCTTCCCTTCTGCCAACCCATGAACGCCAAGGCCATCAGTAAAATAAAATAGTGAGCTACCCGTTACCCTTGGAGTTGTGACCCTCGTGTCAAGGCTGATGTGAAGCGAGTCTCCGCTTGCCGGCCCGTGGCTTCTGGTTCACATCGTGTAACGCAGCCCCTAATTCAGCAGAGTGCATCCCGCTGTGATTGATGGCCCTCTTTTTCTGGAAAACAACCAGTACAAGTTGCTATTAATTGGGGTTTTTTTGTTTTTTTTTTAAGTTCATTAAACATTTGTAAGTGGCTGAGCCCTTGTGGCTTCTTGATTGTGGTGTTTTACCTAAGCGTGTTTTTTTTCCCCACATGTATATTTGAGAGCATAGTTCCCATTTTTCACAAGATGCCAGCGGAAAGGAGTTTATCTTCCATGTAAAATGGACTCTGCTACAGAGGGATGGTGGAATATTAACAGATTCTGCTAGCGAAAGACTAAAATTGGTGCGCAGAGGGAACCAGACATAACGTTCCTTATTTTTCAAAGCGAGTAGATGATGCACTTAGTTAGCCAGCAGCGCGTGGCAGAGGAGGACTCCTTTTGCCTGGATTGCATTTGATACTTTCTTTTTAAGTGAAATTCCTGCTACTGGTTTTGCCAGTTTATTAAGCCTCGGGAGATTTTGGCAGCCAGTTTTCAGATGCCTCTCTTGAAAGGCTGTGGAGAACAGGCATGCGAGTGCAGCGCCATGACAATTGCTGGTTTAGTATGAGCAGTAGGTCCGCTTTGAAGAGATGAATAGGCTTTGCAAAGGCCATACATAACCCATTTTTATTTAGCATTTTCCTTCTACAGATCTCCTTGTTTACCAGTATTTTAATTAATCGTGTAAGAGTTGCCTCTGCAGGTATTGTCACCATTCTAAGGGCAGGTTCCCAGTGAACTGGGCCCAGAAGGTGGTGTGGTCAGTGGCAGTGCTGTTGAAGCCCCTTGCATTAATTGCCGGACTCCACGACTTGCCTCGTGGTGTCACAGCGTGGCTCACGCTTCTGATTCTTGCACCGTTTGATCCAGGTTCCATTATTCGGGTAAACTGATCCAGGAAACACTCAGCTAATGACTTGCGTGTTCTGTGTCTACCACAATTGGTATCTTTTAATTCATTCGTGCGTGTTTACATTGTAGATAAATATGATCACATTTTTTTATCTAGTTATTCCCTGTGGTAATCTGTAGGAACATAATCTTTAAAATGTAGTGTAAAATGATTATTTAATTGGGTGCGTGTAACAAAATTTCTCCTGTTGAGACTTCTGACTGGCTAACCAATTTCCATGAGCGGTATGGTTTTCCACATGATAGATTCCCATATTTTCCTCAAGTAGATACTGCAATTTTAATTGGAAAGCTTTGACATGTTTTGGGCCGACTCAGAAAACAAAAATCAATTTTTCTTTCATTAACTTGTACACGTGGATGCAAATAGAAATATAAATGGGAAAGGAGACACTGGCACTGTATTGGCTTTTACTTCAGGATTTTTTGTTTCATGTTGCTGTGGGCATTTTGTAAAGTCTGAAAGGGGGGGGGTATATATTTTTTCTTTTTTTAATAAGCTCAGTGACACGGGAGCTGTGTGTGAGAGGCGTTTAGGGATGCCTTCCTGGGCCTTACCCCCAAGCCAAGGCTATTCTAGCTGGGACCAAAAGTATGTCAGAGCCTCTGCTACCACTCAAGGTACAGATGTGCCCCGCTGGCTTGTTAACAGTCAGCCTGCAGGCTTATCTAAACACAGGAGTGGTGCTGCTTTAAATGAGAGGGGTAGAATTAGTTGATATGAGATTCCTGTGCAGCGGTGCACATGCCGTTATACAGGTATGCTTTGATGGCCACATAGCAATTTTTGTACAGGTATGTGTATAAAATTTACTGATAGACTAGCCTCTTGCTGGGAATTGTGTTGCTATAAATGTGTAGCCCAGACAGATAAGGTTATTCAAAGGCTTTCTGTAGACTCAAAGGGAGGTCCCAGCTCCTAGGGATGTGAGAATATAAGGGTTATTACTGTAAAGCTGTGAAGAGTTCTCCTTTCTCTAGCGTGTTTGGTGAAATGGGTTAACATTGTTGATGCTTAAATTGGCAGTCAGCTCAGGCACTTGAGCTGATGCAAATGGAAATAGAAGGGGTGTTTCACGTATCTCAGATGTGTAGGTTTGCTCTCTCAGCAGTCTGTCATGGGCTGTGAGAGATGCCCTCTCCTACTCCCAGCTGTGAAGGAGGTTACAGCTTCTATCCGCCTGTTCCCACCCTCTGCCGAAGGTGATAGCCAAAGGAGCGATTCTGAGGAGTGTCCTTAGATTAGGAGCTGTCTTACCTTAAACTATTTCTATTATAAACTCAACTAACTCGGCAGACTTTCCCTGACGTGAATTAGCAAGTGCTAAAGCATACCGCTTTATGGGTAGATTGGTGGGTTATTGATGAGAAGTTGGATTGGGTAGCAGCTTCCTTTTACACAGCTGGATGCAGAGGACTACTTCTTTTCATGGCCTTAGTTACTCTTTTCACTTATAAAGGCATGTTTTTAGCCTTCTGGGTTATAAAGGAAAATGTGTGTGTAAAATAAAAGCTGAAGTTTTGGAAAACAAGAGGAAGATGATTGAAAGTATAGGCGTTTCAAAAAGTCGCCAGCCTAGTATGGCTGAGCCCCGGCTCAGAACTCCAATGCCATTTGTACGGATGGTAATATTTATATTATTAAATTTTCTCCAGCCTCTGCTGAAACATGAGAAGAATCTTAGCAAAGTTGAGGGGTTGTGGGATACAACGATTCGGATCCATCAAAACTCACCAGGGCCTGTCTGTTCCTTTGTCTCCAAGTGTAGATGTGGCTGACTGTTAACTCTGAATAGAGAGCGGTAGATCAGCGGCTATGTATTTTTGCACTCTATTGCCCTAATTTGGACCAAACCCAGAAAGAAAACACAGAAAGCATTTACTTTTTATATCAACCATTAAATGTTATTTAATGGATAATTGTTGTCATGTAACTATTGGATGTTTAGAACATACTCAGGAATGAATGTGATGTAGAAAAAACTGTAGCTCTATATTTGTGTGTCTTTCCTTTTAGTTCATGCAGAGAGGCTTGGATTCACAAACTAAAAAACAACTAGAAGAGGAAGAAAAGAAGATAATTAGCGAAGAACATTGGTATCTCGATTTACCAGATCTTAAGGAGAAGGAGTAAGCTTATTCACTTTGATAATCATCATTGCATTGTTGTGGAGTGGTAATAGAATTTTTTTTTCTACAGAAGTATCAGGAGGCTAATAGCTTTTTTTTTTTTTTAATACCCAGTCAACACAAACAAAAATATTGGCCTGTCATTATTTCAGCTTTGTATTTTAAAGGACATTCTCAAGGTTGCCTAGTCCAGAGTTTGACCTGGTTTCATTTCTTGTGTGCTTTGTTTTCTTTCACTCACAGTTTCTTCTAGATGAATGTAATTAGTTTCTTTTAGGGTCCAATTCAGTGCTCTTTTATGCTTCATTTGATAAAAAGAAGTTTGAAGCCTTGTGTTAGCAAGTTGAGCTGCAGTCACATGATTGGGTCTGTTCAGGGGGCTCCATCTTCTAGAGTCTAGATCACTTCAAATCCTGTTTTTGAAATAGGAGAGAGAATGGGCAAAACAAAAAATAAAGAAAACCTTAGCTAATAAGGAAGCCAGTGTCCACTCCTGCTATTTAGAATGGTGCTGTAAATAGTAACTGAACCATTTTAAAAATATCTAGATTTTTGTCCTGATTTGTCTAGATTTTTGGACAAAAATTCCATTGAGGGAGTGTGTATATATATATATATTTATACACATACACACTTTTCAAACAGCTGGAATTTGGGGAATTAACTATAGTTGAATAAGGTTTTGATAAACTTTTCCATTACTGTGGTGGATATGACAAAAAGGTTAACTGAGCTTCACTTGCAGTAAGGAAGGTTCAAGGAGGATTTTGGGGAAATTTTTCTAACAGTAAGGCTAATGAAGTGCTGGAATAGATTGCCTAGGGAGACTGTGGAGTCTTCATCACTGGAAGTCTTTTGAGGACAGGTTTGACAGACCTCTGCTGTTCATGGCAGGTATTTAGCTGATCCTGCCTTGAGGCAGGAGAATGAACTCGGTGATCTCTTCAGCCTTATCCTTCTATGCTTTCAGGAGTTTGTTTTACGTGGGAGATGAAGAAGTTGAGGGAGGGATGCACATGTGTGAGAGGACAAGAGGGATGGAACGGTTCAAGGAAGTACTTTTATCTAATGCATGTATTATGAATGCCTCAGGGTCATGCTTCTTTCCTTGCTCCGTGCTCATTAAAAGAAGAAAAAAGGGAGGGGGGAAAAGGGGAAACCTGTCTCAGCTGAACAGAGAATTACACAGTGTTTTAAATCCTGACAGACTCCACTAATGCCAGGTCTAACATCACAATGAAAAATTAATTAGAAGCTTTTGCTGTAGTAATGCCACCTGGAGATTGATATTTATGTGGTATTTTTATTCTGGCAAAAGCATTAATGTAGGTGGACTCATACCAGCAGAGAGTGCTTTTTGTCAGGAGAGTTAATTTTGCTTGTGGAACTGGCACAGCTATACTGGCAAAAAGTATTCCTTTGCTCTCCAAGCTACTTGTGCCGAAAGATTTATCAGACCAATTAAGCTTCCGACAGTAGTTGATGGTATAAAATACACCGCGGTTTTGTTTATTTGTGTGGGGGAAGACAGCAAATGCTTTTTGCATTTGTTTAATTGGATTATATTAAAGCGCACTGTTTGACAAATGGTGGGTTTGGGGTTTCATGCAGGAGCTTTATAATAGAAGAGAGCAGCTTTATGCCATGTGAGGATCTACTTTATGGCAGAATGTCCTTTAAAGGATTCAATCCGGAAATTGAGGTACTGTTTAAATGTTTTGTTTTGAGATGGTCCCACATTAGAATGGAAACCCTTGGGGATGGGGATTTTAATGTTCACGCTGCCTGCTGTTTGGCACTCGCAGCATCTTCTGTAAATTCTCCCATGTACTTCAACCTGGGAAAACTGTGATTCATACGAAAATGTTGATGATCAGTGCAACATCTGGTAAATAGAAGCTTTTCATCTTCTTGTGTTGATGGCCAGTAATTGCATGACTCCTGCAGGCTTTCCTTCCCTGAGGTGAGGAAAATGTCCCACATGCTGTTTCATTAGAACAATGGACTGAGCTCGCTTTTTTTTTTTTTTTTTTTTTACCTCCTGCCATTTAATATAGAGCCCGATCCTACAAGCATTCAGCCGTGTTTATTCAGTGCTTACTTGTGTAAGTGAGGGCTTGAAGTTTCAAAGTTTAAATTCTTCTGGGCAGGAAAGTCTTTAATTTCTTTCTGGCCTGATTCCTGCTACCTGCTGCTGGCAGTACAGTAAAAAAGAAATAAAGGTGTTGCCCCTAAACTGAGGCAAGACTATGAGGTACAAAGCGTAAGAGGTATGAAAAGGATTGTACAAGGTGGTTTACTGGGAAATTCTTCTGGTGCATATTGCTGCTTCCTGACTTCCTTTTTTCTTTTTACTAGTAGTTTGCTGTAAAGTCAACTGCCAGGTTATTTGAATAGTACAATTCACTAAAAACTTTGCCTGTGTTGCCTCTTTCCCCAAGCCAAACTCTAAGCTCAACTGAGGAAGGAGGAGGCACATTGCCTTTTCTACAAGGGTCCTTGTAACACTGTGCTCTAGCCGGAGTACTATACAGCAAATGAGGAAAAACAGTGTTAAAATTGATTCTGTCTTTTATTAGTTTCTCTTACCAGTGAATATCAATATAGTTGACATTGTGTCAGAATTACATATTCAAGCTATTTCGTACTTCCTTTTCAGAAGTTAATGGTACAAATGAACTCTAAGTCCAAGAAAGAAGAAACTGAAGTGGATGTTAAAATGGAGGCTGATGTGTCAGATGAAGAAATGGCCAGAAGGTAAATTGTATTTTACGACATAGTCAGTATTAGCCAGCAAGATGATATTTTACTGCATTGTGTTGGGGGGGGGGAACCTCCAAAAACAAAACAGAGAAACAAGTCCATGGCTTTGATACCTCACAGAACTGATTTTTGCGAGAATTCTGGTGTGTGTTCAGTGGAATCCCCATCGCTTTTGGGAGTTAAAAAATCTTGTAGCTGTTTTCTGTCCTTGGATACCCATGTATTCCATGCTAATTCCATCAGGGCTCCAGACTGCTAACAGACCAAAACTGTCAGGACAGATGATAATCTAGTATGTGCATAGTGCTCTTGCTTCTTACCCTTTGGTGTGAAAAAGGCTTCACTGACAAGTTTTGTTTGTCTGTCTGTCTTGGAGATTTTTTTTCTTTTTTTTACACTAGTTAACCTGTTGATTAGAGTTCTGATTTGTTGCATTGAGGTTTTCTGTGGTTTCTACTAAGAGCTGTCAAATTTCTTATTTTCTTCTCAGATATGAAACATTAGTGGGAACAATAGGGAAGAAATTCTTGAAAAAGAGAGACCAGCGTGTACTCCAGGATGAAGATGAAGATGAGAATAGTAACACAAGACCTAGCAAAGCTAAGAAAACGTTCTTAAAACCCCAGGATTAATGTGAACTGTACAGCCAGAGCTAATAGAAATGTTATCTACCAAATACAGTACCATGAACTGGAGATTGGGTTTTTTGCTATGTAATGTAAAGGATAGATTTGTAAATATGAGTCTGTTCTCATTGAAATTTCTGCTGTCCACATGACAAGTATTTTTCAAAGTGGATGTGCTTATAATGGATGTCATACATCCTTTCCTCTCTGAGCAGCTTTTAGTGAGTATCGGGCGTTAAGCCCATTGGCCATTTTTAATGTTGTGCATGAGTAGGATGAGTGTCCTGTGCAACTGAGAGCAACAGTATTTACATTTTATGATAATATCTGAAAGAAGTGTGTGGAGCAAAGGTGGGCTTTATCCAATCCAGTAAAGCAATTCAACTTTCACTGCTTTTTTGTTACGCAATGAAAACTTTTGCACTCATTAAAAGGGAAAAAATAGCAGGTACCTGTTTCTTTTCTCAGCTTATTTTTAGGTTAAAAAAAAGGGAGAGAGAGATAAAATCCTTTTTGTTGAATTTTATTTTTTATAAAGCTTATTTAAAAATAGAGGGTTTTGTAGCAAAACTTTTTTTCCTAGAGCAAGCCAAATATTGGGCGAGGTTTACAGTTTGACACTTGAGCAGCTTGTGAGTCTTAATTTCCGTCTTCCAAAAGAAGTTTGCTAATCTTGTCTCTTTTCCAGCCAAAAAAATTCCAATCTTGTAATTATCTAGGTCTTGTCATAGAAGCATAATAACTGCTTCAGAAACATGTTTGAAAGCTGAATAAAAACTGAATCTTTGTGGTTAATTATCATCGTTTAGCTAATTTAATGTAAAAAATGGTGCTTAATACAATCAAATATAAGAAATGATCCTATCTTGTGCTTGCCACAGATGTCCCCAAATATTAGTTGGCTGTGCTGGCTCTTTTTGTTTAGCATGCAATGAAGCCATGTGAAGCAATGTTAGGACAGAAACATGGCCTTTGGTCAGTCAGCACTGGGCAGATTGAAAAACGTCAGTGGGTCTCATCTCAAATTGTAGCAGTTCACTGTATCCAACTCTTCAACAAGAAATATTTCTTTCTATTATTTCATTTCCCCAGCTAGATATCTGAATTATTCATCCTTAATGCTGACTCTCTGGAGAAAGAAGAATTTTCTGACCTGAAGCAGGTAGCAGCCATTCCATCATGGACACAAGAGGCGACTCAGTGAAGCAAGACATGAAACTCAATTAATTATATAAAGAAAGGTTGTGTGTCTGCGGTTTGCATGTATGATATATGAGCTATAATCCATATATCAAAAGCACCTAATTAGATATTCAAGATGGATCATGTGTGGAAAGAGAAATATACTTCTAACCTAGTAAGGGAGCGTCATACAGGTGGAAAACCTGTGATTCATGATCTGAAGTAGTTTTTCAGAGCTAATTAAATGCTACTGGTTCAATTACTTAAAACTTCACCATATATTATCACCAGCTGAAAAGAAGTTAATGATTGCAAGGCATTTTTCTTCTATGGAAGATGTGACCAGAGCGAAGAAATGATTTATTGTTGGTCATCACAAGAAAAACTCAGAATATATCCCATTATTCTTTCATGCTTATTACTTGGAAAAATGATATATGTGAGTACATTTTTTCACTAGAGAGAATTTCTGAATAGTTGCGCTAGATAGTTGTGGGGGGGAAGTGTGTTTTCGTGAACTGCAAACAACCACGAGATGTCACTGCAATTGCACTTCCCTGAAAGACAGTGAATTTGGCACCGTTCCACTAACATCATGTAAAGGAGCTTTTGGAGTAATTTTGATAATTACTTGTGGTTAAAACAAACTCTGTGTGAAGTCCTTCTTTGTAGAGGCTCTACACAGAGAACTCTTGCTTTGCAGAGTTCTGTTCAGTCTAACGTGGGGTAACTCGGTGCAGTTTAATTGCGTTCTGCCATGCATTGGTCCCTAATTTAATTTAATTTCCTGGGGAATGGCTGTCTTAGAATATGTATGGCATGGTACGTGGGTCAGTGCATGTGCTTAGCAAACTCAGTGTCTTCCTAGAAAATCCTTGGTCTGTCGTCCTAGGAATTTGGGGGGAAAGGGTGGTGGTTCTGTTTCCTAACCATGCCCAACACCAACTATAAGGAAATGATAGATGTTGATTTATTGTCCGCAAATCTGCGTGCTCTGCTGTTTGAGTTCTGATCAGCTGATAGGTGAGCTATCTGAATGCTACTGTAAGACCACCTACTGATTTTTAACACAGTCTCTCTTCGCTCATGGAGTCTGTAAAATGCAGTTTTAAAAGCATCATTCAAAGTGCATTGCTGTGAGCAAGGCAAAACTAAAAATCTGTTCTATGTGATTTTTTTTTTTTTTTAAGGTATCTAAGTGCCTGAAGTTACAAGCAGGTACTTAAGTATGTGACAGGATCTTCCGAAATACCCATCTGTATCTCCAACCATGTACATACACACACACACACTCATATATATGTATGTATTTACTTCAAGTCAGGCTCTGGTTTCCTAGAAGAAACATTCAAGGTAGCAAGGCAGAAACATTCTGCCATATAAAATCTGAATTCTGACTAGGCTACAAGAGAGATGTAAGTGTAGCAGTGAAATATTTATAATGTAAGCTTTAACTCAAGCTTTCTTGGCTCTGATGTAATCTCAAATGCCATTTTCATGGACAACTTCCTAAGCTGTAGAATTTTAAACGCTGCATAAGCCATGTTTCTAATTCAAAAGTATCACTTCCTTGAGAATAGAAGTGAATTGGACTAAGTAGTAAGCATTTTTGCTGAAGAAAATAGCTACCTCCAAAATTTATTGCTTAAAGAGATATCAGACACCAGAAGTGTTTGTGTCTATTACACTACTGTACCTGTTAGACTGAACAAAGAAAGGTGCATGCTGTAGTCTGTGCTCACAGACAGTTCGCAGTGTTACAGTTAAGCATGTCTGTTGTCATGTGAAATTTTGTTCCTCCCTTTGACAGGCTCAAAGTGTTTATTGCTGTTGTAACTGCTGATGTTGGGAATGTGCAAGTATTGAACATCTTTCTTGCTGATTTTTCTTGACGCTTCTATCCTTTGTAGTTTTAGATCTTAAAAACCACAGGAGCAGGGCCCAACGGAAACGAGCTATCCTGTATCCTCCCTTTAGTAATGCATTATAATGCTTATAATTTTGCTTTGCTTTGGCGGCCGGCAGGGGGGAGGTGTTCAGTGGTGCCATGGAGTTTGAACCGTGTTTCTTCTGTCATCTGTGGCTGTTTCCTAGTAAGATACTCATTATACAATTTAATAGTCACTGATGGCTCTCATTTTCTATTGGGCATTGCCTCTGTGTGTGTGGGTAATGGGCAGTTAGGCTGGGATTATGCAAAGCCGTTAATGGGATCTGAGCATCAACTTCTTATTAAAACTAATGCGATTTAATCCAGAATTCAGATTTAAAAGGAAATTGTCTCCTCTCTCTGCTAATTAGAATACCAGGCTTTTAAATTGCATTTGGAATTTTAAAAGTCATGGTCGGGTTTCAAAGTGTTTATTCTACTCCATTTGAACAGCAGTCTGCAGCTAAAACTGCACAATAGTTTAGGATCTCATTAAACTTTTCTTGTAGAGAGATTGTTAATAAAGCTTTCAAGTACATTACTGGTGAAAGATGTCAAAAACACTACCTTGCAGTTGTTTAAGTTGTGAATCTGCATGCAAGCTTCTCTGAGAGGTGATTCTTCAAGGAAGTGCTTGTTTCTCTTTGTCTAGGAGAGCATGTTTTATACAGTAATGCCTTGCTAATGCAACCACAGTGTGATGCCTGTGTGTGTGTGTTTGTTTTTAAACCATTCTCATCTCAAACCTTTGAGACCTTTTGGGCTTGGCATTCCTACCTTAACAACTCTTGCTTTCATCAGCTGTTGGGGGCTTTAGCTAAACTGTGAAACTGTTCCTAAGCTGTGTGTGTTGACAATCCCTCCTCAGATATGATGCTGCACAGCGAGGACCTGGTTATATTTGTCACGTCTAGAGGAAAAAAAAAATCACTTTCAGAGAGTGCTTAGGAAAGATTTGAGTTAGAGGGAGAGTTGAAGCTTGAATCATCTTCAACCCTATAGATCTTCAGTAAGAGCTGAATACCAGAAGGTGGTATCCTGGTATCCGGTATCTTTGCAATCGTGGATAGAAGTGCCAGTGTGAGTCCATAGACCTCTGCCCAAGAAGTCCTCAACACCACAGCCCCAGCAGATAGGGAAGAGTGATGATTAGCTGGAAGCAGCAGCAGAAACATCTGGGAAGTATGAAGGCAGAATAACTGGTCTGTTAATGGCTGGCCTCAAGGCAAGAGGCAGTCGCACCACAAAACAACGCATAGAGCAGAGAGGTTTGGTGACCTGAGGGAACGCAGATGGGAATTTCTGGAATTTCTGCCAGCTAAAGTAGACACATGAGTGTTTTTGACCTCTTAACCGTTCCTCAGGGTATTGGGGAACGCCTCATTTTGACCAATCGTTTAGAAAGGGGTAAAAATCTTTAATGGGGCCTTAATAGAAGATAGTAATAACACAAATACAAAAAAAGGTCCTTAGTTCCACTGATGGAAAAACTCAGTTCTCACCTCAGTAAGCTCTTTCTTTGTGCCCCGCATTGCCTCCCACTTTGCACTCAGTTCTCGTGTTCCAGCACATGCATGCGCACAGCCGTGGCAGCCAGCTGCCACCGCAGCAGCCTCCCTTCCTTGCCACGCTGTCAGCCGGCCATTGCTAGCCGGCAGCGCGGCCGGCTCGGGACTGTCGGCGTGCTGACCGCTGAGCCCGGCGGAGACGAGAACTATGGGGACTCTTCTTCGGCAGCCGTCTCCTTCGGCAGCCTATGAGCTGTTGGTCCAGTAACCTGTAGGGATTTAGCATTGCCAACGTTTTTATCAAACGTGCATGATATTGGCCTGTTCAGTTCAAGAATTTCATGGTGAGCAGGACTGCTCAGCAGATCAGACGGCTTGACTGCAAAGCCCTGATTTACTTAGCAAACCAAGTGTACCAGGATCATGTGGTTATGGGGGGGGCGGGGAGAGGGTCTGTGTTTACAGTAATTCTTAATATTTTTACTTTTTTTATTTTCAAATATTCACTTACAGCATTCGTGAAATTTATGATCAAATCATGTCTCTGAACAAAAAGGATACATTTACCATTGGGAGAAATCAGCATTTTAACCATACTTAGGGTTTTCATAGATGGAAAAAAAGGAAAGAGTTTTTTCAGTGTTTTTGCTATTTTTTTTCCGCACATTGAGAATATTTCCCCTTTCTCAGTGGTGTGCTTGCTTGAGCTTTTTGCAGAGAAGCATGGCAGGGGATGACGAACAACAATTTCTTTAAGATGGGGAACTGTGATTGTGAAATAATTGAAAAGAAAAAGGTTCCTTTAGATTTGGTTGGCTCCTTGCTTTTTTTTTTTTTTTCTCCACTTTGATAAAGAAAAGAAACTAATTTGTGACCCTAAAGCTTCTGTGCTACAGGGTATTCATTTGGGGTAGCCATATGGAATTCCAAATTTGCTATACACAAAAGAGATGGCAGTGTAGCAATTAAGGGTATAGTGGGGTTAGTGTCATTATTCTACCTTTGTTATACATATAATAACTTGCAGTGTACATGCAATAACTTGCAACAGTAAAAATATGAAATTTCCACCCCATTTGGATGGAGGTAAAGCTGCCAGTTGAGACTCACATTTAAGCATTGTATTCTAATTCACCCCAGAATAGGATGATTTTTTTTTTTGTAAGAGAAGCAAAACTTGCAGGTATATCCTTAGAACCTATCAGTCACAATTAACACTGCAATAGATGCAATTTGCATCTTAGGAAAAATACATATGTACCAAAAATTACTTTGGGTAGGCACATGATAATAATCTTTTTGCACTACGTTTTGTTTGAGGTTGATGGTGAAAGAATTGTGCCTTCTGAATTGTGCCTTTCAAAGGTGACAGTATTGTTGCACCCATTTTAAAGACAGGGAAATGAGATGAGCTGTGAGTGGTTAGATATTGTGAAAAGTGAAGTTTTAAATCTGCACATAGTTGTCTAAATGCTTATAGATGAGTTTTTTCTCATAATAACCATAAAAATGTGTTGGCAGCATATCAAAATTAATAATCCTTACTTCTATTTTATGTGCTCTAGGCACTCCAAAATTCCCCAGACATATTTCTTACCTAAGTTTATGACCAGATTCGAATCAGTCTCTACATTTCTGCCAAAAATTGAACTTCAGTCATTTCACAGCAAATAATTCTGTCTGCCTGCCAGAAAAGTATGATATCCCTGATTTTTCCTTCTCCTGAACGTGACATTTACTTTAATCTGATATTAATGTATTTTTCCTTCAATTGTCTGCAAAGGAATCCTGTAATCCTGCAGTAGCGATTGGGCAGACCGTGGAAGATGCTGTAAATGTGTAGCCCTAGCATAGGTTTTTCCAGTAGTCTAAATTGTGTAAAATCCTTTGACATTAATCGGAACAAGCTTTCTCTCTAGAGTTACGTTGAATTTCTCTTTCAGTGTCTTTTCCACCTCTTCATCCTCAAGAGTTATGAATTCCACCAGATCCATATTTTCCTTGTAATTGTATGTAGTCTCGGTGAGTGTCCATCCAATTAAGGCTCGAAAGCCATCAGTGGTCTGGAGGGTGCAGATAGACTTCTTTGTGAACAGGGAGTCGGGAGATGTCTGAAGGTATGTGCACTGGAAACGGAAATCTTCCATTGTCCGTGGCTCAAGACTGAACATATACACTTTCCGACACTCTTTTTTTTCTAGAAGGTCAGAACTAGAGAAATTTTGATTGGGGATATATTGTTTCCGTCTCATTTTCTCCAGGTACCAGATGGCATTTTTTTCTGTGAAGCGAAAGACACCAGGAGCCTGTGGCTGGTCTTTCCCAGACACAAGCTCCATTGGTTGCCACATCTGATAGGACACACCAAAGCCTCCATCGACGATATAGGCCTTGCTATCAATAACTACCTTTACGAGGAGGTGGGTCATGAGGGTGGCGTATGTGTTTTGATGTGGATTGAATACATATGCTCCCAGAAAACTGGCATCATACCCTAGGCGTTTCAGGACCCAGCCTAAGAGCTGGTTGTTCTCCATGCACCAGCCGCCACGCTTCTTCCTCACGATTTTGTTATAAATATGATCCAGCTCCAAAGTAATTTTCTCCTCGCAGTGAATGCTGAGATTTTCAAATGGAACAGCACGGATGTGGTGCTGGAATATATCAGTTAAGGTTTCCAAATCTTGTTTTTCAAGGGAACCGTTATAACCAGTTCTCACAAAATACTCTTCAAGGTTCATGTTTCCTGTAAAGCAAAGAAATGTTTTTTGATTTTGTTTCTTTACATCAATGATTTATGATGCTGTGAGGAACTGCCCAGGCTATTACCAGCAGAGATGCTTTAACTTACTGGACCTCATCAGAGCAGTTTTTAAAAGCAACAAATATTCATATCAAACAGTTCTAAGAGCAAAGAAGAGTAGTGCATGTGAGGGTTTGCTTTTTGCATTAGAGTCATCCCTATGGCAAACAGTTGATGCAACTGCAGCTTGATATGCAAGGTCTGCGTAACAGGGATTTGCTGTATTTGCATTGTAACAGCAGGCTTAAGAAGAAATATAAGATCACGCTAGGGAATGCTCAGAAGCTTTAATGAAAAAGTCTAAATCCACTTTTCAATAAAAGGCATAGCAGTGCAGGAAGCAGTGTTGTCTAGCAGTTGGAGGGAGAATAATTTGAGCCGGGATTCACATGTTCCTTTCATGAGTCTGCCACTCATCTATGTGATCATAAATGAATGGTTCATTCTCTACATGTCTGTGATTCTTCACTTACAAAAAGAAGAAAATGATACTCCCTGCACATTTTGTAAAGTGTCAAGTTTTATTCAGATAATTATAACTGAGGAAAACCTCTGACCTTTTCAAGAGTCGCAGACCACTGAGTCCCTTGTCTGCTCTGAGTGTTGCACAAACTCATTTTGGTGTTGGCATAATGATTCTGCATAGGGGTGAGTAACCTAAAAGACAAAAAGCATATCTCTGTTCCCAGTGGGGCCCAGGATCTCCCAGGGTGCACTGAAGGTGGACAGTGGATGGTTTACAGCTCTCTAATCCTGGTCTTTCATAAAACTTCATTTATTCCTTCCAGAGGAGGCTCTGAGAACTACTGCAGCCTAGTTCAGTGCCTTTATGGTCTTATCCTGCCTCTAGCAACGCCTATCTCTTATCAGGAAGACTGTTCATGAGCCAGATTGCTGCCTGAGAAACGTTCAACTTATTTTTCTGCCTTCCGATGCCATGGGAAGTCATGCGCAGTCACCTCGCTTTCTCAGTGGCCCATCGCAGTCTGCTGGCCGTCGTTACAAGCTGGATGATCTATCTGTAGGTCTCCAAATAGATCCTGTTTGTAAATGTTTACTGTAGATTGCCTGCTAGGATACGGAGCTTGACACAAAATGTTGTGAATGCTTGAACCTTTGCAAAGAAAGCACTAACCATTTCGGCGGTTCAGAGTTACTGCAAATATTTAACTTCTTGACAACTCAGAAAGCTGCTTGGAAATCTTTTGTGCATACAGTAAGGTGAGGTTTAGACACTTGGTGTTAGCAACCCAGGAAGTCCATTGTGTTCAAATAAACTCAGCAGTGAACCCCTGAATGTTTACCACAAGCTAGGCTTTCTATAGATGATTTTCAATGACAGATTTGTGATGTGCATATGCATGCTATAGAAGCAGCTGTCCAAAGTAAGTGAAGAGTCCATCAAAAACAGTATATTATCTTCTACAGAAAAGAGTATAGTCTTCAGTGATATTTAAGTGTATTGGAGAATATTCCAAGGTAATATTTGTTAAGTAGAAAATAAACTTCCAGCATTTCATGGAGACTAAAAAGATTTTTTTGGTATAAGCAAAAGATTGGCCAAAATTAAAACCTTTTGTCCCTAATGCCGCCCAACTTTGGTGAGTTGGATAAGACAGAACCTGTCAAAACCTGTTCAAAATAGCTTTATTTTTCTTTTTTTTCTTCTTTTTCTTTTGGTTTGCAGGGTCTAATTGTATCCAGTCCTACACAATTCTGTCCAACCCTTGTCACGTTCTGAATGCTAAATAGGGAGGACTGATCATACCAGCATAAAATTGGTTTTTGATTTTATATTTTTTGTGATTTCTCTCTGCAGCTCCATAATATGATTGATCAGTGTTAGATATTAACTGCTAGGAGATGAAAGCTACCGTTCTTTTGAATTGTGAACAGATCAGATGAAAAGCTAGATACTGAAAAGATAATCCCACAAGTGTGACTGTGATTTATATAGAGAAAAGCAGCAGCAGCAGCAGAACTTGCAAGGCCTATGTCTAAATGAACAAATAAAGATGCTAATGCAAAAATATTTACTACCGGCACCTCCTTACCATGACTGTGCACGCAATCAGTAATTCTGCTATTAAAATATGTATCTTTTTTTCCTAATACAGTTAGTGCATGGGCTTTCTGGGGTAGGCAAAACACAGTATATTAGTTTCATTTTAAGTTGTTTTTAAAGGACTGTAATTTATTCCAAGAAAGCAAAATTTATTGATTATTGAGTGGGGTGGTTTTTTTTCTCTATTTGCTTTCTTTGTGCTCGCAATACTTTTAAATAAAGATATTTAAAAAAACTTCTGAGAACAAGCTGTAGTTCTAAATTTACATCCACTAGTATTTCTAAACAAATGCAGCTCTCTCTCTGCTAGTCAAGTGCAGTGCTACTGAAGAGCAGAAAGAAGAATTGAAATTGCATTGTTATTGCCTTGCTCTCTTTAAGAGCCCATATTTAGCAGGCAGTATTTTAGTTCTATCCCCCCACATTTTTATAATATCTTTTCCTAAAGGGAATTTTGCTCAGATTTATTCCCCATGACCTTTACCATCATAAAGAAACCATTTTGTGTTTGTTTTTTTTTAAATAAAGGAAACTTACCTCTTAAAATAGCCTTATTTATTTCTGTATTCAGCTGCTGGATTGTTTATTACAGGGGTAGCAGTCAGTAAAGCCAGGAGGAGACACAAATTGCAAGGGCTGTTTTCCTCTTTAAGTCTGTCTTCCTGTCCTGCACGCCTGCATCTTAAACTACAAGAAAGGGCAGAGTCCACTCAAGCTGCATGCACATTTTTTGGACTTCACTGATCCATGAGCAAATTAAACTTTGCTTCTTCTCTATTAGGCAATGTTTATGTAGGTCTTCTGCTGGTTAAGACTAGATTGCACTGGTTTTCCCTGTAAAATAATTTCAGCAGATATTCACAAATGGCTCAGTAATTTTTATGATTAATGTTATTTGGAGACCAGCACTTTGTAGTGGAGGTTGGTCTTCTCTTTGTGGGTGCCACGTGTTGCCTAGGCATTGCAGGCTATGTTTGTGCAGATGCACAGAGTGACTCTTCTTTCTTCACATAATTTTTCTATATCATATGGGGGAAATGATTTGGATGTGTGTTTCTGGTCTTCAAGTACATAACATTTTCAAATAGTATGCGTTGGCTTCACTCCGTTCCAGCACTGAAGGTGGTAAAGCTCCTACGCTAATTGGTTTTGAAAGGCTTCCTCTATAACCTTACCATGCATTACCCTTTTTTCAGGAGTCTGCCATTTTTTTCCCACTTTTCCCTCTCAGTATGTTTTACTGTAATTTGATGCTGAAACTACAAAGGTTTAAGCCTCCAAGAGATGCACAAAATAAACGTCTAGCACAGTGAGCCTTTCTGGCTTGCAACATCTGAGTTGCACCATGTGTGAAGTAGCTGGGACCCCTAGAGAGAGCTCTTGTAACAAAACGCTGCTCCCCCACGAAGATCGATGTATTCAGTCTCAGCATTTCAATGAGTTCCGGGGAGATCTTACTATTTACCTGCAGCCAGATCCCAAGCTATATATAGTTACATATAAGGCTTGATCCTGAATTGGCATAAAACAGACAAGAAGATTATAGACCTATTAGCAGTCTGAATTTGTGAAGTGAAAGCGATGCAGTACGAACGTTGATTATTTTTGGTGGAAGAATTGCAAAAGCAATTAAGAAGGGAAAGATAGTATCATCCGGGTTTTGGTATACCATTCAATACAATGTGTGATGAAATCTTACTATCAACACGAGTTGATATTCAAATGAGTTCAAATTGGCTTGGACTGAAAATTGGCAGATGGACCACAAATAATAGATAGTGTTAAACAGGAGCATATTGAGCTGAATGAGCTAACTATTGGGGTGCCACAGGGCTCAGTTTAAGGCGTTGTCTTCTTTAAAATCCACATAAACGATATATTATTGTAAAACAAGCATGCTAATGAAATTCACAGATGATGCTAAATTGCAGGCTATGCCAACAGCAATGAGGACAGATAAATAATAGAAGGGCCTAGAAAAAGAAAATATGGGCCGAGAATAACAAAATGACAGTCAACTTGGAAAATTAATTCAAACCAGACACACAAAAGAAAGATAAATCTGGAAAGCAGTGATGTTGAAGTGTACCTGAGGTTATATGGGATGATAAGTGAGACAATGCATGAACTTATAGTATAACATAAAAGAGCCCTTGGGATCTGGAGCAGTCAGTGCAAAAGATCTCTTTCCTGCAAGGCTGAAGGGACAGTATATGGAATATTCTGGTTATTGCTAGACTTTTCACAATCACAAGATTCAAAATAGAAGCCTGACATTGAAGGGGGCTCTAATGTTAGCAATCTAGAAATTGTGTCTAGTCCACTAAAATTATCTAGGTTTCCTTCATATTCTAGGTGTCTAGGGGCATCTTAGATATTCAAGGCTATTCTGCCTGATCCCAAGATGCCACTTCACAGGTCTGCCATTGATCCTGTGTCATACATGCCAGCTCTGTGTGGTTATATCAGGCATGCTAAGGCATCTAAAAAGGCTCTACTTGTATACATTTAGGCATTTTAATTGCTTTCCTACATTTCAACCTCTAAATTCAGTTGTATGCAACCTGGTACTGAGAGATACCATGAGGGATTCAACTCTGCGCTCAAGTTCTTCCTAGACTCATGTGGCTATATTCCAGCAAAACAGAACATATTAGGTGCCAAAAAGGCATTGGGTCTGCATCCCAAAGTGAATGATGTGTTAACCCAGGTTTAGGACTGGCTCTTGCTATCAAAGACCAGACTAAGCCTATTAGAGCAAACACTTCAAACTAAGCATGCACACTAGAGGGAAGTAAATCCGGTTGACAGCTATTTGGTCTTGTAGTTTATCTTTCTCAGATGTTGAATAATAGCAGAAGCAGAGCCTCAGCTCTTGTTGGCTTTGTTTAGAAACAGAAAAAAACATAAAATTGGACGCTTAAAATTAGAGAGCATTTTTTTAATAAGTGCCTGTGCATAACTAGCTCACTAGTTTGAGGTAAGGTACTAGAACTCAAGTCTTTCAACTTGTTTGCAACATTACCTAATCAGCACCTACAGAGTGGCTTGTTTTAAGAAAGGCTTAACCTCTCATTTATTATGTATTCTTTGAAGGCCAAAATCATCTCAATTCTCTATTTCAGACTGTTAAAGAAAGTGAATAATTCATAAAACTGTGATGAGGAGGAGATGGGAAATCACACCAAAAAACATTAGAGGTCTTTTGGGTAAAACGGTAATACAGTTTCTCCTTCCTTATCATATTGGTCTCCTTTGCCACAAAAATATATTAGAAATAAAATGAAAGCCAGAGAGGCGGAACAAAATTTAATGGAGACAAAAGGTAATTTCCATACAAGCAAATTAAAGGTGTCTCGGTTTGTACAGAAGGAGAAGTTTAAGAAAAAATTTGAAATGAATATAGGCAAATAATTAATGATAAACTTAAATTTACCAAGCCTTGTGTTCATCTGAACAGCTCAACTTTAGAATCAGCCTAACATGTTATTATTGTTAATTTTAGAAATTTTTATATTGAGTATTTAAAGACTCATCTTGTACAGTGTTAGAATTAGATCATATCCACTAAATTAGGTGGTAAGCCACGAACATTTACTGGTAGGAGTTTGTTCTCTAAGGTTATATTGAATTTATCTTTCAGTGTTTTCTCAATCTCTTCATCTGTAAGAGTTGTGATCTCCACCAGGTCCATGTCCTCCATGTAGTTGTACTTCATCTCAGTGAAGGTCCATCCAACTAAGGCACGAACCCCTTGAGCGGTCTGGAGAGTGCAGATTGACTTTTTCTGAAATAAGGTATCCGGAGATGTCTGTAGGTATGCGTTTAGTTCCTGGAAGTCATTTATATGTCGTGGCTCAAGAGTGAATGAATATATTTTTCTGATTTCCCCTGTTTCTGGAGTATCAGCCAAAGGGACACTTTGCTCTGGAATGTAATGCTTCCTTTTTATTTTCTCAAAGTACCAGATACCATTGTCTTCCGTGAAGCGAAAGATGCCAGGAATCTGAGGTTGATCCTTCCCCGAAATCAGCATCATTGGCTGCCATGTTTGATAGGTACCACCAAAACCACTGTCTACGATATAGGAACTGCCATTGATCACCACCTTCAGGAGGATATGATTTATGTCAGGGGTGTATGCTTTCTCTGCTGGATCATAACTATTGCCTCCGAGAATAGAGACATCATACCCCATTCCTCGCAAAGCCCAAAATAAAAGGTAGTTGTTTTCCAGGCACCATCCACCACGTTTCTTTCTCACGATCTTATTGTAAATAGATTCTAAATCCAGGTCAATGCTCTCCCCACAGTGCATGCTGAGGTTTTCAAAAGGAATCGCCTGGACATGGTGCTGGAAGATGACTGTTAAGGTTTCCAAGTTTGCATCCTTACGGGACCCATCATAAGAAATCCTTGAGAAATATTCTTGAATGTTCATTTTGCCTGTGAGCAGAAAAAAGAGCTGGTTACTGTTGGATGGCTTTCAAGGGATTCACTCCTACATCTGCAGCACTGGTTAACAAGCCTGCAAAGCTACCCTATGCTTTTGGCCTAGTATTTGGAAGAAACCTCTGCCCTTGATAGGAGATGAAAATAGTCTGCAGCTGCCAATATCATCTGTATTTCTTAAAAAAGAGAGGTCAGGATAGGAGCAGGTGAGAATAATGCCTTATCTCTCAGAAAATTTCTTCAACGCAAGTAACTATCTGTGTTGTAGGCATCTACAGCACTCGGCACAGCAGAATCTTTGGTGTGATGACAGGTGACAAAAAAATTGTAAAACTAACAAACAACAGGTCTGCGGACAAGCTGTTGGACTATACTGGAATAAAAGTCACAGCAATTTTTGTTTCCTCTTACAGTAGCAGGTAAGCAATTCTTTGCTTATTGCACAAGTAATGTAACTAGAAGGTTTTACATTCACAGCTTTAGCTAACGGGGATTAACTTCTCAGGGTGTCACCGTTTTAGACAAGCTCTCATGTGAAGTAGATTGTTATTTTCTTAATCTCTTTAGTTTCCCTGTTGAGTTCAGGCAGAGCTTTGACCTTGGCTGTTGATGAGAAAGGAAGGATTATTAATTTTTCTAATTCACAGGTCAGAGGAATTGATAATTATTAAGAATATATTCAAGGCATATTTAGTGGCTTTCTGTTTTGTCTTTTACAAACCAAAGGTTTGAGCTCAAATTGGACATATTTTGTGTCTTCATGTCCCTGATCTCCTCCTCTTCATTAGCAGAAAGCAACCCTCATCGCCACTGACTGTGTGGCAAAGATGCAAAAGGCTCCCAATAACATTTCTAATCCACTGACTTATCTGGCATCTTCAAGGATTTGTTTTGCCCTTAATTTAGATTTAATTTGGCATTTTTCCATGCAAGGATTTTGTCTAGAACCACTCACAATCTGCTAAGGACTGTATTCATTTCTGAAAGGTCTGAGGATTTCTTGCTCCTCCTTGAAATTGATCCCACATTCCCTGGGAGGATTTTTCCAAAAAGCGCTTGATGTAGATTACGTGGGAGAAATGACTTTCCCGCTAGTAGTCTTGGCACTGGCCCAGCCGCTCCAGCAAAAATGACTGGGAGTTTAGCTCGACTGCCGCGCAAGCAGCTGCACGGGTACCGAGAGCTTTGGGAAACCCCACCTCCAATAGCTGGGTGGAAACTGCTGCCCTGGCAGGTGCGCACCTCAGCTGACCTGATCTTTAGACTTTCACCCCAAATTCAATGTCAGCGGAGTAACTCACTTGGCCTCACTGTACTGATTCTGTTTTGGCACTAGGATCAGGATTCAGACTGTGTGACGCAAAAAACACAGGAAAAGGTGATAAAATAGAGGACTGTCCCACTAAGGGAATAAGAAATAAACATTTTCACTTCCAAAGAGCCAAAGGGACTACAGGAAAGTACAGTAATGTGGCTTTCACACTGCATTTTGTGGTTTTTTTCCCCATCTCTTTTCAGGAGAAGGGCACTCGTTTCGGGCAGGGTCTCCTTGGTAACGCTGCTTGCGGGAAGCCCTTCCTCCCTCCCCAAGCGGACGGGCGCACGCGCACGCCTGCACCCTGCGGCGCTCTGCTGCCCTTCCGCCGTTTCCTTCCCCGTCCCATTTTTAGCCATTCTGCATAAGCAGATGGAAACGTCACTTCACCGTGACGGCGCCAAGCTAAACCTCTGTGCCCAGGAAGGGCCTCATCAGCTCTGTTAGCCTGGTGGGCTTCCAAGCCATCAAGTCCTAGGGTGCCGCGCCAGGAGCCCACGCAGGGTCGGGCTGCGACGTGGGGCACGGAGCGAGGCTTCAGGAAAACTTACTTGGGGAAAGTCACAGTCTGTGCCTCAGTTTCCCTTGTTGCCCTTCCGCTGGCTTCATCAATTTAAAATCTTCATAGTAGAAACGGTCTCATGGTGGCTGACCAAATGGCTGATCTTAATTAATACTTAAAGGAGGTTAAGTATGATAAATCCGCAGTGTAAAATCACCGGCTTTAGTGACCATAGGCAGATAGCAATTGTGCAAACCACAGTGTTTGCTCTCTCAGTTTCCTGGAGGCAGCTTTTGTTCTCATCACAGTTTGGGCTGCTCTGCGCAGTTGTTCCTCTCGCGTTAGCGATGGTAGACCTACGACAGCGTGCAAGCCCTCCCATGCAGGATGGTTTGCATGCCAGAGCTGGGCTGCCAAATGTCCGAGCCCCAATTCAGATCTCAGTCGTGTTGATTTTTGCTCCCACAGCAGCCGAGTTTCATTCGGCATTCATGCACATTCATAGCATCAGCTTGGTGGGTAGCAAGATTCAGACATTAGTTCTGCCTGTCTGCATATGTCGCTGGGGATAGCTGTATCTTTTCATAATTAGAATGAATAGTAGAAATGGTTTCTCGCTGCTAGAATTCATGAGAGACTTCCAAGGTAGGCTTCCCTTGCACATGCCTATACAATTTGTTTGATTTTTAAGCTACATTGCATGTGAGGAGCTGGATTTTTCATGCAATCTGGCTCAGCATAAACAGGGTAGTTTAAGTCTCGGGCACTTGCTCTTTGTACCTAGACAACGTCCTTGCGCTGCAATTCGTGTTGTTGACCCTGGGGGGTTGTAATTTCTCCTTTGCTAACACGCATCCTGGGCTAAGCCCGGGCAATGCAGACAAACACGACAGGCTTTTCCAAACTGCCTGACCCGTGTCCACAAGATGAAGTTAAAAATCGGACCCTTGGGGACTTACCTCTAAGCCCGTGAGTGAGCGTCAGGCTTTCTGTGTCGGATTGCTCCGAAGTTCCCAGGAGCGTTTGCACTGGCAACTCTGCTCTTAAAGCCCCAGGATCCCTTTTACTGCCTGGCACAAGTGACATTAGCCTCCAGCAGAACCAGGAGAAGAGGGAGTTAGTTTCTTCTTTTGTAATATTTTCTGTTGTGATGGCTTTATTATTTTATTCATAATGGCAGCATGCATGGAAAAAAAACAGTCATGCAATTCATCGTGTTAGATGCCGTAAAAAGAGCTGGAAGACAAGCCGTTCCCCAAAGAGCTTACAATATTGAGTAGGCTTAAACCTCCCGTGCTACTGACGGAGAACCAAAGCCCTCCAGGAAGACAAGGGAGAAATACAGTACGGGGAGCGCGAGCAACTTCTGAAAGTGGGTCTAGCCCTGCCCTCAGGTTAACTATTTCTGAGGGCAACTTGCTTCTTGCTCCCACGAAGCAGCAAAACAACAGTGCAACTTTTAATGATGCAGTTGGTGTCGTTGACTTTTGTGTGGCCAGGAGCCCTGCAGGAAGCTACTTACAGCTGAGAGCTGCTCATTCCAGCCAAAGAAGTCATGGATCTACTAGCAGTGGGTGGCAGCTGGTGAATTAAGCACCAGCCCTGAGTCGTTCCTTGCAGCTGATACCAAAGCCCCAAAGCAGCAAGGCCAGATTTCACAAGGCACTTAGCTGCCCAAGTCCCCTCGGGCTCAAGCCTTGTCTGTCCTCAGCGAGGGTGCTGCTCCCAGGCAGCTGCTGCGCTCCCTGAGCCTGCGGTGCCTTTAAGAGCTTGCCTCCTGAGTTCACGTTAAAAAAAAAAAAGCAAACCAGTGAAATCTGAGATTGAGGGACTCTTTTTTTTCCCCCCTCCCAACTGTGAGCTTCATGCGATTGCTCAGCGATACAATCTGATGAAATCTGCCTCGCTGGGTGCACTGAGCAGGAGCTCACACCAGCAGCGCCGCGCTGGGCTGCGGAGCAGGGAGAAGAGTGGCTGAGGCAGGGGCTCAAGGGGATGAGTCAGCTGAAAGAAAGGCCTTTTTTAAAATTATTATTTCCCTTTCACATGTTGAATGTCTGGGCCATGGACATTACCAGCTACCCGTGAGCTACCTGCAGCCTCGCAGCCTCACCAGCCCCCACGGGACGCCCTCCTGCCCACGTCTTTCCAAGGCCTGGCCGAGGTTTCTGGCCGCTGTTCCTGATGCCCTGCCCTGGCTGCAAGGCTGCTGTCAGGAGAAGTGCGACAGGGTTTGTGCAGCTATTCCCGTACCGTGGGGGCCGTTTAAGTGCCGGAGGAGAGCGCAGCTTTCAAACCTTTCCACTACGCGCGGGATCCTGGGACAATTCCCGCTGCCCATCGGAGTTGAAAGCTGCTGGTGACACTATAAGGAGCCCCCATTTCCTCTGCAATCTGCTACAGGGTCACTGTTAGCGTTTCGTTTCCTCCCATCATCGGGGGGGGGGGGGAGCACACCTGATTTGCTATAAGTGACTATTGCACACATGCAGCCAAGCACATATGGATGTCTTTGACACTAGGAGGAGGGGGACTTGGGGGACACACTGTGTCTCTGGGAAATATATTCTGAGCATGCAGAATAGCAGCATCTTTTATTAACTAGCACTTAAATTGCTAGCTATAGAAAGCCACGTACAAAGCAAAACAAAATTAAAAAGGGACAGTGAGGCTGTTGTAGATAAGGCTTTTTAAAATACAAAACATAGCCCATACATACAATCAGGAGAACTGCAGTGATTACTGAAGAATCTTTGAAATTTTTTGCTTCGGAAGAAACTGTAGTTTAGGGAAAAGAAATAGCTGAATACTTGTAGTTCACAATACTTGATTTTTTTATTTAATTGTAATTTACTTAATTGTAAGTAAGTGCATAGCTGTAATGTTCTGTGATTTGTACATAAAGCAACATCAAGCATCATCTCAAAGCACAATGTGATTACAGTTGAGTAATTTCTCATACTTAAAATGTAAGCCTTTAGGTATCTGATTAAGATTTATCCTTCCTCCTTATATCAATATAATTAGTATTACTGCAAACACATCTTCAGCAGAATAGATATGTTTTGGAAAAATCCTTCTGTGCATGAATTTGAATTTAGCCACAGTAATTAACGTGCAACCTTGTGAGCAGAGGGCGTATTCCCGCCAGGCTGCGGCTGGACTTAGCAAACAAACTAGATGGGAGACACTTCAGATTCAAAGGGAGCCCCGGAATTACTGCTTTTTGGATACGTCGCTGAGAGAAGCCGAGCTGTGAAACATCAGAAACAAGACTGAATTGTCTCCTCATGTTTCTGATCATGAGTTTTAGGCCACAAATAGCCTAAGTATTCGCCACATATATCCTAAGTGTGGAGCTGCATGATTACAGCATGAACGGGTGTTAAAAATGTAAGAGCAAAGGAGGACAGACTTTGGCTTGCTGTAACAAACTGAACAGTGAATGTCTTTGTTTTTCCAGCTATCAAATTTCAACAGGACTGTGGTAGTCATTGGAGATGTAGGTATGGTTTTCCCCAGGCGGCAGTGCAAAGCAGTAAGGAAAGAGACCTAGTGCCCTGCCAGGGTTAGGGGAAAAGCTTCTAAGAGATGAAAGGAGGAGGGAACGGGCAGAGTCTGCTGCCAGCTAAGCATGAATAGAATGGGAGTGATTTGATTGTGCCAGGAGGGAATTATTTGTACCTGAACCAAGGAGAGGTGCAGGAACAGCAGTGAAAATCAATTTCTTTTCCAGATGCATGCTAATATGGTCTGCCTTACACTGGGGTAGATGGAAAGAGAAAGCCTAACCTTTAGTGCTTGTCAAAAATAGGGGAAAAGATTGTATTTAATACCACTGTATTGAAGGCAGTGAGTTAAAACAGAGACGACCTGCCGGTATTGATGGGTACTAGTTTCCTATCTAGTGTTATATTGAATTTCTCTTTCAGCGTTTTCTCTATTTCTTCATCTGCAAGGATTCTGATTTCCACTAGATCCATATTATCCTTATAGTTGAACTTTATCTCAGAGAGTTTCCACCCGACTAAAGCCCGGATGCCATCAGTGGTCTGCAAACTGCAGATAGACTTGGTAACAAACAGGGAGTCTGGCGCTGTCTGCAGCTGCAGGTTGGCAGGTCTGAATTCTTCGATGTCTCGCGGCTGAAGGGTAAAGAGATAAATTCGCCGGCAAGCTTCTTTTTCCACACTGTGGGAAGTAGAGACGCTTTCGTTGGGGACATACTGCTTCCTTTTTACTTTCTCGAGGTACCAGATGCCATTCTCCTCCAGGAAGCGAAAGATGCCGGGAGTCTGAGGCTGATCTTTCTGCGAAATCAGTTCCATTGGCTGCCAGAGCTGGTAGACCATCCCAAAACCTCCGTCCACAATGTAGGGTTTGCCATGAAGAACCACTTTTAGCAGAAGATGATCGATTTCATCAGCATATGCATCATACTCTGGGACATAAACTTTTGCTCCCAAAAGGGTGACATCATATCCTAGTGTTTTCAGGGCCCAAGCCAAAAGCTGGTTATTTTCCATGCACCAGCCTCCACGGTTCTTCCTCACGATCTTGTTGTACAGTGACTCCAGGTCCAGCTCGATGCGCTCTCCGCAGTGGATGCTGAGATTTTCAAAAGGGACCGCACGGATGTGGTGCTGGAGTATTTTCGTTAAAGTATCCAGATCCAGTTTATCGTAGGAGCCCTGGTAAGAAATTCTGGCAAAATATTCCTTGATGTCCATGTTGCCTCTGACAGAAAGGTGGAAAAAAAAAAAAAAACCAGATTGTGTTGGAAATGATGGGAGGCTCTTCTCTGTTCATTATTATGGGGCCCTAATCAACAGGAGAAGCCTGTTCAGAAGAGGACGGCGATTTGACTAATGGCCTCATCAAAGCCAGTTGAATATAAGTTTTAGCACGGAGAGGAGCCAAGGGGACATTGCTGATGAGCACAAATGTTATTTTTAATTGTTTCTTTTACAGCTGTGCCTAGCAGCTCCAGCTGTGTCAAGCACATTTCAGCAGAGAGCTCCTGCTC